AACGAAAGTCGAGGCTTGAATTTTTTCTTCAGTTCCCCCAGCTTGAGAAATACTGACCGTGTTCTTCCCTTTTGGTTTTCTAACTCTAAATCTTTTCATATTGACAATTATATCACTTACCAATTAAATTTTGGCAATAATATACCTTATTGTGTTGTTGCTAAGGGCCACCAAGGCGGTTCCTATTCATAGCAGCCATATTTAATCTTTCCAAAGAGAGACGGGTTGGTTTGAACTTCAAACCTAAAAGTTCAGTGCTTATCTTACACCACCACACCAGGACTTCATTATATCATTAAACCAGGTAACTTTTGAATTCAGCAACAGTTGCTTACTTAGCAATAAGAAGTAAGGGTGGAAAAGGGTGGGAAAGTGGATGTGAGTGAATCAGGGTGAGAATCTGAATTTGCAAAAAAACAAGTTCTAGATTCCAATTCTGTGAGTTTTTAATACCACATTATATGGAGACAGCCTTTTAACCACAGTACTTGTTTAACGGCTTTATTTCGCTGTATTTAAGTTTTTGTCACATTGAACATTAAGGATTATGCTTTCTCTCAACATTTCAAGTACACTGTAGTTTGGGTTAAGTCCACGCTGTTCTGAGGCTGTTTTACTTTCTACCATGGCTTTCTCCTATGTTTCTGATTTGAATCCTGATAGATTATTACTTAAAGATATTAGACATTATGTAAAATAATATAAAAAGGAAAAGATTCTTTCAACTCAAATTTAGTCCAAGAATGATAAAGTTTAAAGGCAATTTTATGTGAGGTATATGTTCTTATGTCCTTAAAATATTATATCTTAAACTTTTCTATATATTTGTCATTATCACCACTACCCCGAAACTTGACTTAATGTATTATATTTTTATATTGATAACCGTTGTGATGAGAAGGTGCAGTTGGTATACAACAATGGACTGAAAGGCATTTCAGGAAATTTTAATGATAAAACTAATACTTATAAGTAGTAAAATGTAAATATTTGAGAAAATAATCTACTAAGGCATTACTAACATTCAGTTAAGAATTAAATTATATACTGGTAAATAAATGATGCTAAGCTGTTTAAAGTTTCATCAGCTGTATTTAAGTTGATTTTAATCAAAATTACTATACTAAAATGTTTTCTTTTGTTGTACAGACTCAAATAGCAAACCTCAATTTTAAAATCGGCTCTTATTTGCAAAAAATGCTTTGACATAGTGCATTTGTTCTGCCTGGGCAGCAATAAAGGATTGTGGTATCATTCTGAGGAAGGTTGTTTGACAGAGCCTGTTTGTTTATTTGGGGTAATGTGAGCTGCATTCAGAAAATGCCATATTTTGTTTCATGATTGTATACATTCTCTCCCACTGCTCCCAGGCAAGACTTGTAAGCAGAGAAGACACGGATTTAGATCTTTTTTCCATGACCAGTGGAAGTGCTTTGTCTGTGAACAAAGAAAAAAAAAATCAAGCACACAGACACTCAGCAGGATCTTTAAGTAAGTTGTGGTTTCCTTCAGAATTCATTTAGAAATCACAAATGAATTGATGGAACCTAATGCCAACAAGCATTCTTATACAGATGGGAGTAGGATGTCCACAACCAGAATTGTCCCAAAAATGTGTATTGGGATTTTTTTTCTCTTTCTTTAAATGCTTTCTTTTTACATAAATAAAATTAAATTATTTCTAAAATTAACAGCATTAGTTTTTCTTTTAATTATATTCTGTGATTCAAGTCCTCCTCCCCTCTTTGGATCATACTGAATTCTTTGATCATTTATTTCTAAAAGCATTTTTAAGCTAATTATAAAAAGTTAGATTTAAATATCAAAGTAGTGTGTGTTGGCTTTTGTCATTGATTTAAAAGATGTTGTAGGTAAATGTCATTTTCAAAGGAATCTTTATTAAAAAGCAGAGTGTTAGGTATTATACTGTCAAAACCCATGGCTTTCAAAACTATTCATACGTAATAGTTAACAGTTTGATGATGTTAAGCAATAATGACTTTTTATATTTGTAAGTCCATCATTCATATCTGGAGCTCTGGTAGCGTAGTGGTTACGAATTGGGCTGCGAACCTCAAGGTCAGCAGTTTGAAACTACCAGCCACTCCGTGGGAGAAAGATGAGGCTTTCTGCTCCTGTAAAGATTCACAACCTCGGAAACCCTGTACAGGGTCGCTATGGGTCAGAACCAACTCGAGGGCACTTAACAGCAACAACAACACATTCATATCTAAACTGGGGAAGAGAACATTTTTCTTAAAATATATAAATATATCATGGTTTCAACCAGAATTGCATTGGAACCTTATTTTTCAAAGTTGGTATTTGACTTACACCCTACAGATTTTGAAATAGCTTTTAAAATGTTATACTACATTAATGGAATCCTGGTATGGTGCTATAGGATAAGCACTGGACTTCTAACTGCAAGGTTGATGGTTCAAACCCTCTAGCCTCTCCTTGGAAAGTCAGTGTCGCTATGAGTTGGAATCAACTTGACGACACTTTTAACAATCCTAAAAACAGTATATTAATATAAAATATATTTTACCTGATGTCATTTTATGAACTTCCCCCAAAGTATACTGTTGTTGTTAGATGCCATCGGGTCAGTTCTGGCTCACAGGAACCCTATGCCCAACAGAAGGAAGCACCACCCTGTCCTGTGCCGTCTTCACAATTGTTATGTTTAAGCCCATTGCTGCTGGTACATGTCAATCCAGTAACTTGGGGGTCTTTTTCACCAACCCTCCTCTTTACCAAGCATGATGATGTTCTTCTCCAGGAACTGGTCTCTTCTGATAACATGTCTTCTAAGGATCCTTTTGACTGAACTTCTAACATACACTTATTTGTTGTTGGAGCAGTCCAAAGTATTTTAATATTCTTCAACATCATAATTCAAAAACATCAATTATTCTACGGTCTACCTTATTCATTATCCAACTTTCACATGCATGTAAAGCTATTGAAAATATCATGGCTTGGTTCAAGCATACCTTAATCCTCAAACTGACATCTTTGCTCTTTAATACTTTTAAGAGGTTGTGTGCAGCAGAGATTTACCTAGTGCAATACATCGTTTGATTTTTTTTTTTTTTTTTTACTCCTTGCTAGTTCCATGAGTGTTGATAGTAGATCCAAGCAAAATGAAGTCTGACAATGCCAATCGTTTCTCTGTTTATCATGATATTATTTATTGGTCCAGTTGTGAGGATTTTTCTTTCCCTTACATTGTGGTGCAATCCATACTGTAGCCTTTTATCTTTGTCAGCATGTATTTTAAGTCCTCTTAACTTCCAGCAAACAAAGTTGTTTCATCTGCATATTGTAGGTTGATATGATAATGAGTCTTCCTTCAATTCTGCCACCATGTTCTTCAGATAATCTAGTTTCTCAGATGATTTGCCCAGCACCGGAATCTCGGTGTGGCACTATTGGACAAAGCACTTGACCACAAGGTCTGTTTGAACCGCAAGGTCAGTGCTTCTCAGCCACTGCTCAGAAACCCAATACAGGCTTGCTGTGAGTCAGAATCGACTCATAGCCCTTAACTCACTGCACTTAATAGATTGAATAAGTATGATGAAAAGATACAATTCTGGTACACACCTTTCCTAATTTAAACCATTCAATATCCCCTTGTTCTGTTCTAACAACTGCCTCTTGCTCTATGTACAGATTCTTCATGAGCACAATTAAGTGTTTTGAAATACGCATTCTTTGCAATGTTATCCGCAGTTTGTCAGGGTCCACACAGTTCAAAGTTTACTGGCCCTCATAGTAACTATAATTTCATTAGAAGTACTAGGTTATTCTTTAAAAAGCTTTATTACTCAATAATTATATGGTTATTATATAAATACATATAAAGTCAGTATTTAATTGAATGTGAAAAGTTCATTCATTCAGATTGCTCTTCGGATGCATGGAAAATTCAGAATGACTCTGATATTCACTTTTCATACAGGTATCTGGCATTACTAGACAGACGCCAATCACTTAAATCTATTTATATAATTAGATTCATTTTATTGTTGCCATGTTAAATTTTAAGAAAATTAATTTGTCTTTCAAAATTAAATGTTTAATGCATCTGACTAAAATAATATATATATCCTAAACTTCAAAGATCTTAGAGTGCTTGACTTTTCCTTCTTCCGTATTTAATCTGAAATTATATACACTATATTAAAAGATCAATATAGTTATAAAAGTAGCATTTTATATTTTTTACCCAAGTAAAACTAAAGATGAGGCTTTCTACTCCCGTAAAGATTTACACCCTCGGAAACCCTGTACAGGGTCGCTATGGGTCGGACCCGACTCGACGGCACTTAACAACAACAACAACAACAAAACTATTCAAATAATATAAATTCTCTGTTGTTAGCGCAACTCACCAATTAAATCAATTTTCAGAAGTAATCAACCTCCTGTCACTCATAGTAGCAAATAATGCTATTCATTTTATATATTGTTTGTTGTAAATTCATATATATCACTTTGTAAAAATAAACAACAAAAACACTTTGTTACTTTACAGAATATCAAAGCTTTGTTCTTAATAAGTCTGTTGTTGTTGTTGTTATGTGCCGTGGAGTCGGGTCCGACCCATAGCGACCCTGTACAGGGTTTCCGAGGCTGTAAATCTTTACGGGAGCAGAAAGCCTCATCTTTCTCCCGCGGAACAACTGGTAGTTTCAAACTGCTGACCTTAAGGTTCACAGCCCGATTCGTAACCACTACGCTACCAGAGCTCCTTCTTAATAAGTCTATTAAATATTAATTTGTTGTTGTTAAGTGCTATCAAGTAGTTTCCAACTCATAGCAACCTTGTATAGCACTTCCAAGGAACAGCTGGTGGGTTTGAATCACTGACCTTGTGGTTCAAACTGACCTTGCCATCCAGTAGGATCAGTTTTCTCTATCCTGTAGGGTTGCTATGACTTGTAATTGACTCAAGGGCAGTGGGTGTGATGTTTTGATCTTTAGTGTCTAGGCACTTGAACTCAGTTCATTAAAAAAACAAAAACAAAACCCATTTCTAATAATTGCTTGACTAAAAACATACACCTTATACTATAGAACTCCTTTAGCTTCAAAATTCTTGTGTCCTAACTTCCATGGCTCTGGGCTAACCACTTACAGCTTTGGTATTTGAAAGCTCTTTTTCTTCCAGTTTGCTTATTTATTTATTATTATTATTTCTTTCACAAAACATGCTTGATTCAAGCCAGCATATTTCTTTTAGCTTTACAAGTCAAATCTCGAGAATGGTTTATTGGCTGCAGCGATAGTTGGAGCTTTGAACTTTTAAAAAAGAGTTCTTTTTCATTGCTGTTAAAATAATGTAATACGTATTCTTTGCAATCAGATTATCTCAGGTTTAAAATTACACATTTATGTTATTTTTAAGTTGTTATAACCTTAGGTGAGTTATTTAACCTCTATGAATGAGTTTACTTATCTATAAAGTGAGGAGAGGAATGTTTACTTCATGAAATTTTATTGAGGAATAAATGTGTAAATAGATGTGAAGCTTATGATGTAATGAAGGCTTAAAAAATCGTACCTTTGGTTTCATTGTTTGTTGTTTTAATTTTATGTTGCTGTTCATAAATTTAAAATAACCCCAAAGTAGAATTGACTTCCTTTTCTGTATTAGAAGTTTCAGAAAAAGATCACAGTACTTTGAGCATGCCATTTCAAGCATTCTTTTTCTTTTTTTTTTTATCTTAGAGGCTTGCTGTCCCTTTCCTTTTAAGTCTTACCATTCTCTTATAGTCCTGGTGTGGCCCTGTAGGATAAGCACTGGACTTCTAACTTTGAAAACCCTATACAGAGTTGGTACAAGTCAGAACTGACTCAATGGCACTTAACAACAATAACAACATTCTCTTATGGAAGTTCTTCTGTGGCACTGTAGGATAAGTACTGGACTGCTAACTGCAAAGTTAAAGTCCAAACCCACCAATGCTCCTCAGAAGCCTTATACAGGGTTGCTATGAGTTGGAACCAACTCAACAGTTAACAAAAAACTGTTCTCACACAATAGGCCAAGGCGTCCTAGCTTTCTAACTCATTTTATGGCTTAAAGGGAGATGAAAGGAGTCACATTCTCATTCAATCATTGCCATTTCTAAAATGAATATGCCAAAAAATTGTAGTTTCTCACAAATTTAGAAAACTATGTATTTTTATTTCATTAATAGCTGTGGTTTTCTCAGGTCGTATTCCCTATTAAATATGAAAATAAATAATGAACTATAGTTGTAACAAATATATTGCTGTATCTTTACAAATTATTTTTTCTTGTTTATGATTATTTTTCTTATACAGTTAACATAAACAAGACTCAGGGAGATTAACAAATTTGTCATTGTTACAAAAAACTAGCAGGAATTTGAAGGCATCTTTTCTTAATACAAACTCAGTGTTATGTTGCCTTTTACTATTCCATAGACTAAAAAATGGGGCTTAGTTGATAAAAGATTATAACATAAATTAATGGCTCTTATTA